CCAAAGATGTTAGAATTGTGTCGATGTCCCAATATTTCTGGACCTGACTGTACCTTCTAAAAGGAGTCGGAAGACAATCTTCATGATAACACAGTTGCTGCCATAGTGGTTGGAGAAACTAAGATTTAGCAACTCAGTGACCCAAACCACTGGTTCATCCAGAACAGGATTGTCAAATGGTAGCAATTGCCAATTTCAAGCAGGAATGGTCTCATCTCTCTCTTTTGAGATAACCCCTGCCAGGGATCAAATCGTCTCTTTGCAAAAACAGGTGTTCTGTCACTGAACTACAGCTTCCCAACCCATCTGGAAGGTCCCACATCAGGGATAACAGACTCTTTCTTAGTAACCCCAGTGATGGTCTGCAAAATTCTTCTGAAAAGATTTGGACATTCAAACCCTATCTACACAGCACTGTTAGGAAAGTAAGAGCAACAGCATTAAAAGCTAGAGTGGTCTGTACTTTTATTATTAAATATATATTATACCCCACTTCCTATACAACAGCATCTCAGAGTAATTGCTAAAGACTGGACCTTAAGTTTTCCCGTAAGCTTGCACTCTTGTAAAACTGTAACGCACAAGGCAAAATGTTTTCAGGTGCCAAGCCTCGAAGAATGGAAGATGTAGAAGAGGAATAAAGGTTCATAAATAACAAATCCTAATTAAACGGGGGAGATTCCAAAGTTTATACCCAAAGGAGAAGCCTACTTTGTTTCCATTGTACTAACCAACTCAGTAAATTATATACCAAGCTGGAAGAGTCTCAATATTTTATTGTAAGCTGAATTTAAGCCTTGCTGTACATTTTTATAATCCATAGTCTTTTGAGGAACAGAGCGAGCATTCAAAAAAGAGGAAAGCTTTAATGCTTTGAAAAACAATATAAGACATGCAAGTGGATCAGATTACCTGGTAAAGGTCAACCATTTCTGGACTTTTCAAGCAAGGACGACAGCAGCATAGAAGTAGGACACATGCATCATGCATCAAGAAATGGAAAAGCAAAAAATGAAGTCCAAGTTCCAGGGAAGCAAATCAAAATCGGCCAAACTGAAGCCAACAATGGAGGAGTTGACAGTGGAGCAGAACCTTGGACAGCTCCAGGAAGACCCAAGATGGAGCCCTGTAGGAGCAACTGAGATGTTGCTTCAGCAACAGACACACGAAGGTAGAATTTTAAATAGGGCTGCTGTTGGGGCTCCATTCGGGTAACTAGCTTTGCCAGCCGAAAAGAAACCTTGTCAATGAAAAGGATGTTGCTCATTTCAACAGCCTTTGGCGTCCACAAGATTGAGGACATGGCAAACTTCTGGAGTTTGAAGGCAGAGGAGGGCAATACATCTCAGACAGAAATCAAATCTTTATTACAGTCAAAGACCAGCATACATGTCGGGCATAAAGGATTCTATTGTGGCGAAGAAGAAGAGCAGTTGGATCAGGTGTCCAATGCTTTACTGTAGCAGGGAATAATCTGCTGATACAAAGACGAACCTCTGCTTTATTGACAGAATCATTTCCAGGTTATAATATGTTCGCATCTTCAGCGGGCAAAGCTGCAGTTGTAGGTCAAAGAGACTGTCCAAGCAGAGCAACTGGGGATTCCAAATTCTCTCCCAAAACATGAGGACTAGAAATTTTCTAGACCAGTAACAGCTAGCGTACGGAATTATCTGCAGCCAAGACAGCTAAAATCAGCCAGCCACAGATAATTTGGGCAAATGTTTGTTTGGGTTTTCCTCGTTGGAGGAGGAGGAGGAGGAGGAGGAGGAGGAGAAAAACACCTTGCTGTTTAGCCATAATACACCAAGGTGTATTTTACCCACAAAATTTTACATCAGAAAGCAAGGCGAGCGGACGAAAAAACATGACCGTCTCGTTCTGTGTGTCAGGAGAAAGGATGACTCATCTGATTAACTCACCTCATTTATTGGTTCCAACTGTCCTTTTAGATATCCATGATGAAGCAAAGAGAGAGAAAATGAAAAAGACAAGACCAGTTTAGCAAAGCTTTAATGATTTTCCCCACCTGCAAGACAAATACATACAGCGGGCCTTAGCTTTCATTTCCAGCAGGGGAAAAAAATGCTATTTTGAGCTCTTCCTATGAAAGATCTGGTAAGAAAGTGCAGGTAAGAAAGATCTCCAGGAGGGGTATTCAATTGCTATTGTAAGTTTCCTCAATTGCTTACTATTTTTGTCCCTTTGCAGAAAGAAAAACCCCACCTCTTTTTATAATCCTAAACCTCCCTCTGTATTAGTCACTCTTAAATGTGAATGGCCCCCATCCCAAATGGGCTGTTATGCTCAACAAATAATAAATAAATCACACCTTTACAAAGATACTGCGGTTTGCAAAATGTGGGTTAGGGCTTAGTATATCCAGTGAACCTCTAATTCTGGCTTGTTTAACAAAGCATGGTTAAATCAAAACCTGGCCTAGCACAGGCTGTGAACCCAACCAAGGTGTTTAGGCTTCCTATAGAAGGTTTGGTACGAAAACCATATTTGGGCCTTGAATAGTGCTTGAGATGGGAGAGCAGAAAACAGACTTATCAACACAATAGCAGTAAGGAGACATCATACCTCAGTTCACACATCAAAGTAATCAGGGCTTTTTAATGCAGACACATATTCACACAGCACACACTTTCTTCTCACTGCATCCTATCTCGATGTAATTTTTTTCTCCACTGAAGTCAATAGCCCAGCATTAGGATTGCGGGGGGGAGGTCTCTACTGGAATACTGGAATAATCCTTGCCATTATGTTTTAATGGATTAATTTTGCTGCCTTGAATGAAAAACATTGATCTAACAAATCATTTCAAATCCTAAATGATACTTCAGATGGGGACGACAGCAACTGCCCCTCCCTTTAAAAAGATGCTGAAGCCACAGGCTGTATCATGATAGCTTGCCAAATAAACTACAACAGCCTAGGTTTGTACAACGTGCTCAGCCGCTAATCATCCTTACAAGCCATAACGCATGAGCTCACCTAAAGTACTGAGCCCAAACCACATGAAGTCCATCATGAGGAGCAAGAAATATTTCTCTATGGGAAAACGGCAAACGCGAGTCTGCATGCCCACACATAAACTCACGGCTGATTCATATACGATGTGCCTATCTAATTAGACTTTTGATTGCCTGCATGCTCCAGAACTCTAAAAGCATAAATTGGGGTCTTCAGGACTGGAGCAAGGCTTCCTAATGTAGGACAAGCAGTGGTTCTATAAGGGAAAAAATATAAATACTGAAGTAAGATGTGTGTGATACAATAACATCTGATTTTATTGTATCACACACATCTTATTACAGTATATATTTTTATTGAAATGTAATGAATTATTGAAAATTATATATTATTATTGAAAATTTAATTCCACTATGGAGATGGTCTTTGCCCATTTAGTTATTCAGTTTACATTGAATATTGCTGAATGCTCCCACCAACCCCAAAAGACAGAGACAAAGACTTAGCTGCTATTAACCACTTAGCAGTCATCGTTTTCAGAACTCCTATCAAACCACAGATGTGCTAACCATAGCTTGGAAAGCAAACCATGCATTTTCATCCTGGTTTGTTTGCTTGGTGATGGCCACTCTTGCCTTAGATAATGTCCCACAATGATTGTAGGGTTCAGGACCAGGAGGACAGTATCATGAAGGATGTGAATCAAGAGAATGACCACCATCACTTGCAGGAGAAATGAAAAGGGCGGGGAAGGTCATGCTAAAATGATCTCTGCTAACGGGAACTTGTCCTCAACAGATCTAGCCCAGGAGTAAAA